TTTTTGGGAAGAATGTTCTGAAAATGTCTGTTAGGTCCATTTTTTCTAGAGTCCTGTTTAAATCTAGTGTTTCTTTATTGATTTTCAGATTCAACAATCTGTCAGTAGGTGTTGAAGTCCCTGACAATTATGACGTTACTGTTTATTCCTTGCCTAGATCTAGTAGGGTTTGCTTTATGAATTCTTAGAGCACCTGTGTTGTATACATATATATTTAGGATTGTTATATCTTCTTGTTGAATTGATCCCTTTAAAATTATATGATGATCAATTTTGTCTTTTTGTTATCATTGTTTATTTAAAGACCATTTTCTATGATATACCTCCTCTCTCTTTTGGTTTCCATTTGCGTGGAATATTTTTTTCCATCCCTTCACCTTCAGTCTGTGTGAGTCTCTGTGGGTTAGACATATATCTTGGAGACAGTAGATACTTACATGAGTTGTGTTTTTCCATCCATTCAGCCAAGCAATGTCTTTTTAGTGGGGCATTCAGACCATTCATGATGAGCATTAATATTGATATGTGGGTTGCCGTTCTGTTTACCATGTTAAGAGATATCTGATTGTTTTGTTTTCCCCTTTGTGCTATTGTTTTATTAGAGCTGTAAACTTTAACTTTAGGGTGTTTTTACACTGGTACATAGCCTACAAAAATTATTCCATAGAATTGAGGAGGAAGGAATCCTCCCTAACTCATTCTATGAAGCCAGTATCACTTTGATACCAAAGCCAGGAAAGGACACAACAGACACAAAAAGAAAACTATAAACTAATATCCATTATGAATATAGATGCAAAAACATCCTCAATAAGATATTAGCAAACCAAATTAAATAGCACATTAAAAAGATAATTCACCATGATTAAGTGAGTTTCATCCCAGGGATGTAAGGATGGTTCAACATATGCAAATCAATAAGCAGGATTCACCACAGAAACAAAATTAAAAACAAAAACAAAATGATCATCTCAATAGATGCAGAAAAACCACCTGATAAAATCCATGACCATTTGACGATTAAAAAACTCTCAACAAGCTAGGCATAGAAGGAACATACCTTCAAATTATTAAAGCCATATTTTGTTACTATAACAAACCCACAGCCAATATCATATTTAAAGTGGAAAATTTGAAAGCATTCCTCCTAAGACTGAAACAACACTAGGGTGCCCACTGTCATCAGTGCTGGAAGAGAAAGAAATAGGCAAGAGAAAGAAATAAATGGTATCCAAATTGGGAAAGAGAGGTTAAACTATCACTTTTCACTGATGATATAATCTTGTATCCAGAAAATCCCAAAGACTCTACCAAAAGACTCTTAGAATAGATAAATAAATTCAGGAAAGTCTCAGGTTACAAGGTCGATATACACAAATCAGTAGCATTTCTATATACTAATAATAGTCGAGCTGATAGTCAAATAAAAGGCTCAATACCATTCACAATAACTACAAAGAAAATAAAATACTTAGGAATCTACTTAACCAAGGAGGTGAAAGGTCTCTACAAAGAAAACTATAAAACACTGATGAAACGAAATTGCAGATGATACAAACAAATGGAAAACATCTCATGCTCATGGGTCAACAGAATCAGCATTGTGAAAATGTCCATACTGCCCAAAGTGATTTACAGATTCAATGAGATCCCCATCAAAATACCAACATAATCTTTCACAGATATATAAAAAATAATTCTATACTTCATAAGAAACCAAAAAAGAACCCAAATAGCAAAAACAATCGTAAGCAAAAAGAACAAATCTGGAGACATCACATTACCAGACATCAAATTATACTACAAGGCTACAGGAACCAAAACAGGATGGAACTGGTAATAAAGAAAAAAAAAAGTAGAGATATAGACCAATGGAACAGAATAGAAAACCCAGATATAAAACTGTCTACCTAAAACCAACTGATCTTCAACAAAGCAGACAACAACATACTGGGGAAAGAAGCCCTATTCAATAAATAGTGTTGAGAAAACTGTATAGCCACATATTGAAGTATGAAACAGGACCTCTATCTCTCATCATATACAAACATTAACTCATGATGGATAAAAGACTTAAATGTAAGGCATGAAACCATACAGATTCTAGAAGAAAATGTAGGAAGACCTCTTCTAGACATCTTAGGTAGATAATTTATGACTAAGACTTCAATGGCAAATACCACAACAGCAGAAATAAATAAATGGGACTTAATTAAATTGAATGGCTTCTGAACAACAAAGGAAATAATCAACAGAGTAAATAGACAACCTACAGAATTGGAGAAAATGTTCACAAGCTATACATCTGATAAAAGGCTAATATCCAGAATCTAGAAAGAACTCAAACAAATCAGCAAGAAAAAACAAACAACCCTATTTAAAAAGTGAGTAAAAGACATGAACAGAAGTTTTCTAAGAGAAGATAAATGGCCAACAAACATAAAAAAATGCTCAACATTACTAAACATCAGGGAAATGCAAATGAAAACCACAATGAGATATCACCTGAGCCCTGCCAGAATAGCCATTATTAAAAAGTAAAAAACAATAGATGTTGGCATCAACATACAGAGAAAGGAACACTTATACTGTTGGTGGGACTGCAAATTAGTATAACCTCTCTGGAAAACAGTATGGAGATTCCTCAAAGAAATAAATGTAGTCTTACTATCTGACCTAGCAATCCCACTACTGGGTTTCTATCTACCCAACAGAAAATAAGTCATTTTATCAAAAAGACACTTGCACTTGAATGTCTATTGAAGCAAAATTCATAATTGCAAAGATGTGGAATCAACCAAAGTGCCCACCAATTCATGAATGAATTAAGAAAATGTGGCATATATACCATAGGATACTACTCAGCTATAAAAATGAATGAAATAATGTCTTTTTCAGCAATTTGGATGGAATTAGAGAACATTATCCTAAGTTAATTATCTCAGGAATGGAAAAACAAATACAACATGTACTTTCTAATAATTGTGAGCTAATTGATGGGCACACATGGGCACAAAGAGCTGTAAGGTCATAGGAAATCATGAAGCAGGGAAGGAAGAAGGGAGGGCTAAATACCTACATATCAGCTAGAATGAACACAAATCAGGTGACAGGTACTTTAAGTGCTAATTTGAAATTTTAAAAAAATAAAGTGAAAAACAGAAATAATTTTTCAAGGGCTAGTAATTTTTTTTGCCATTTATATGAGTATAGCCAACTAGCATTATAAACATTCAAAAGATTAGAGGATAATCTTAGGCTGCTGTAAACAGAAAATCTTCACGGATCAGTTTAGATTTCATCTCGATCTGACACTGAGAAAAATGGAAGGATTTCCAAGCATAGGGAAATGATATTAGTAAAGATACAGAGTTTGGAGATTAGAGGGTATAATTGGAAGATACACATCAACTTTTGTGGTTTGTTTTTATGATTATATTTTCTACTTTCTTTAAAGTACCTATCCTTTCTTAGTTGTATAAGTACAGTGGGATGATATCTCTGGAGTATAGTCTACATTGAACGTCTGAATCACTGGCTCCTTTATTGTTTTATAATAGGCAGCTCAGAGAGCTATTGCCCTTTCAGAACAGATTTCTCTATTTATCTTAGACTTCATATAAAATGAAAACCTGCATCCACTGGTTGGGAGTATGTGGTTAAAATATTGTTGGTTATCTTTGGAAGGCCAAACCTGCCTGACAAGCCCCAGCCTGGAGAAGGGTCAGAGAATCATGGACACTTGCAATGCCACATAGTACATTGGGCTCTTCTTTCTCAGCCCCTCAGAAGGTTTATTTGAAGCCACAACCCTCAGAAGGCACATCTCACTACGGATGCAAAGTCACAACGGATGCCAGCATCCTCGGAGGTCTTCACGCTGGAAAGCGGCAACTTCAGCTAAAGTGCATAATGTTCAGCTGAATACATTTTCCTTCTCTATGTCATTATTTACTTTCTCTATTCCTAACACTGTGCCTGTAGTTCAGTTTGCAAAACTCCTGTGCCATGTAACATTTTCTTCCTCCCATCTATCTGGCACATGCTTTTTTCCTCAGGGAGCACCATCCTTTTTTAAACCAGTTTATTTACATAAAACTTTAATAAAATAATGTATTTTTATCCTGGCCGCTGAGTTTCATCATGGCAAGACTGCTTATAGCCATGATAGAAATCCAGAGGTGGATTACTCTTAGCAAAGTGTCAGAAGATCCAAATTAATCCCAAATTGGCCTTATTTTCCTTTAATTCTACCTCATTGCTTCTCAATGGTAGCTCTGACCTTTCTCATTTGCCTCCCTATAACAATAGTCATACAACTGTTAAGTCAGAATGACATCAAAACACTGCCTTTTCTACCCGTGAAGATTGCCTGACACAGGTAACACTTGATGTGGGACTTGAAAGACAAGTAAAAATACTGAGAACTACATTATATTGAGCACTTACTATACTTACTATATGCCAGGAACTGGATTGCTCACTTAATCCTCATGGCCACTTGCAATTTAGATTAATTAATGTTCCCGTTTCATAAATGAAGAACTGAGGTCCAGAGAGGTTAGGTAAATTGCCTACTGCAGCTGGGAAGTAACCAAGCCAGGCTTCACATTCAGCCAGCCAGGCTTCAGAATTCAAATTCTAAATAGAGAAATAAAAGGATGCAGAAGACATTATATATACCAATGAAATAGGGTCTTTATGTTGAGCAAAAGTGAGGATTTAAGTGCAGCTCAAATGTAAGTTATGTGGAGAGAGAGGCTAGTGGTGAGATGAAGAGTTTTGAAGATAATAATTCTGAGAACAACAAGGATTTAGAAAGACACAGATAACATTAACCTCTGAAAGTTATGATATGAAATAAATACATACTGGATTATAGCTGAGATGTAAATTCATTTTAAATAGACTAACACTTTCCAAGCTTAACACTTCCCTGTGACTTCATTAAAGATATTATTTTTTATTTTAAGAAAATCACTTCAAGTATTTTTTTTCAGCAATAGAATTACACAGATAGAAGAATCAAAGAAGTAACCAGCTGCCGTCTGTGTTCAACACAATCCAGTGGATAGGATGTATTTTACCCCAAAACAAGTTATCAGAACAACAGAAAATTGTGAGTCTTTTGGTAGTATCAACAAACTAAGAAATTCAGCAGACTGTATTTTTCAAAGCAAATCCTCCTTTTCCCCACTGAAATTTTATACTTAAATCCAATGTATAATACAGAAGAAAGGACTGTTTAGATAAGGAAGTCTTGGAGGACCGAGATCCCAGGGAACTCAGTTTCCCTTTATATTTATAATAATGATATGATTGATTATAGGACAAAGTGTATCTCTTTGTGGCAATTCTGAGTTCACTGAGAAATCTTCTGATTATGAATCTTCTTCTCATATAGATTTAATTACAGGAAGGCCATGCACTAAGCAGAAGGCAGTCAGGTTCTGTTCTTGGTGCCTGGGAGGTATCTGTGCAAAACCAGCCCATCCAATAGATACATTTCTCATATAAATGAATATATTGGAATTCCAGTTTGTTCACTGGTACCTTTTGGGTTTAGTTGACTTGACCCAGTCTTATTCTGGGGTTCTCATAATTGCACTTCTCATCCTTAAAAACAAGACCCTCGTCTAGGTCACTCTAAATCAGTCCATGGGCATCTTATTTAAAATGATACTTTATATGCTATGCAAAGATGCTTAAATTTTATCTTTCAGCAATGGAAAGCCAACATTTATTTCCTCAGTAAGGGGTTGCCATAATTCTCTTACAGTAAATATGTAGAAGCATCAAGTGTGGGTAAGAAGAAGGTACGGAACATGTTATCTTCTCTCTATCTCACCTAATTTCATGTGACTTTAATTATTTGACAGCACACCTTATGCTAATTACATGTCCACACGACTTTAAACACTAGGACAGCATAAGGAACAGCGTAAGATCCTCACGACCTTGCATTCTAGATGGGGAGACAGACAAGATAAAAGCAAACAAACAAAAAAGCAATCTATCACCCAGAGAATGGGTCAGTCACCTACAACAAATCTGGCCTGTCACCTGTTTTGGGAAATAAAATTCCCCTGGGGCACAGCCACACCTATTTGTTTAAATATTACCCATGGCTGCTCTCCTACAGCAAAGGCAGAGCTGAATGGTGGCATGGGAGACCATGTGGTCTGCAAGCCTCAAATATTTACGATCTGGCACTTTCCTGAAAAAGTTTGTCGACCTCTAATACATAGTATTTCTGTTTGCAGCAAATACAATAGAGTAAAATAAAGCAGAGAAAGGGGACAGGGTGTGGGGGGGTCGCTAATATAGTATAAGGTAGTGTAATATTATTTGCATGGATAAATGGTGTTCAGAGAAAGCCTCACTGAGAAGGTGTTATCTGAGCAAATGCCATTTACCTTCCAAATTAACCCAGTTGACACATTTTACAGTTAATCTTTTAGTGGATAATCATTCCAATTCAATGATAAATTCTGTATATTAGCACCCTATTATTCTGCACTTACACAATTGCAATAGCTCTGTGGCTTAGCGATTCGATGTCCATCTCTCCCCCCAGTGACCTGTCCCACACTGTTTATCCAGATGAACCTTTAAGAATTATTTCATTCCCTGCCCAAAAATCTTCTGAAAATTTCCATTAACTGTAGAATGAAAGGTGAACTCCTTAGGATTCAACATCCTTCTGAATCTCTCTCCTAGTCACATCCAGAATTATGTCTCTTTCTACCCTCTAAACCACAATCAAACTGTACAAGTCATTGTTTACCTGTCATTTCTAAGGTTTTCAGGTCGACTTGATGCCTGGAATGTCCTTCCTTCTGATCCTACAGGACACAATGGAAAGTATTCACAAAGCAGAGCTGGAGGAGGAGGAAGGCAGCTTGCTGACACCTGGGGAGAGAGCAGTCCAGGCAGGGGGCAGAGCCAGGTGCAAAGGCCCAGCAGCGGGAGCATGCTGGAGTGTCTCAGGAGAGCATGGAGTGCCCTGGGAAAGGGCGATGGGAAGGTCAGGTGAGAGAGGTCAGGGAGGAGGCAGGGAAAATGGTAAGAGTTTAAACTTTGAGTGAAAAGGGAGCTGGTAAGAATGTTGAGGGGCTTTAAATGACAGAGATGTGATCAGACTGCAGTGTCAGCTGTGTTGCAACAGGCAGTAGAGGAACAGGGATGAAAAAATGGGACAAGTTAGGAGAATTTTAAAATAATGCAGGTGAATGCTGTTAACATCCTGAACCCAGGTGGTAGCTGTCATAGAAAAATTGTTGGATCAGTCTGGATAGTTTTGAGTAGAGTGTATGGGATTCTCTGGTGGACTGGACGCGGTTTACATAGAAAGACTGGAATCAAGGAGGAGCCCAAATTTTGGCCTAAGCAACGAGTACTACAAATGAGGAATGGTGAAAGAGGAAAGGGAGATTTATGGGGCGGTGTGGTTTGGGAGTGGGTGGTGGATCAAGAATTTGGTTTCAGATGTACCAAGTTAGAAATGCTATTTATGCCTTTAAGTAAAAATATTTAATAGAAATTTGGATATGTGAGTACTGAGATCACAGCAGAGGTACAGGTCAGGAATACAAACGTGCTCATGCCTATGTGTTCATGTGTCCACCGCGTGGGCAAACGGTTACAGTGTGTAGGAGAACAAACTACTTACAATTATCTGTGATTGGACTGTAATTTAATTTTACATAAAAACAAAAAAGTAATTTGTGCAAAGTTTTAATATATATTGAATTTCCCTGGAATGCAGCTGTTATGTAAATCAAGGAAATATTACCCTTAAGTTTTGTTCAGAAGTTTCAAAAAGAATTATTTATCATTTTGGAAAGTTATATTGCTGACAGCACTGCTGCTTAAAGTAACTGAATCAACTACAACATCCCTGTATTCCGTTGTATTTGGAGCGGTTGCTTCTAGACTCCTTCAGTGGATAAAAGCAGGCATCTCATCTTAAGCCACTAAAGCCACATACCTGAGCACTTACATATTACAATACTTAATGTTTTAGTATAAAATATTTTTATTTTTACTTTATATTACAGATAGTACATTATTATAAATTATTTTTAATCTCTATTTTATGTTATTTTCAAGGCTTTCAGGTATTATGATTTTTCCCCACCACTGCTTCTTTCTGGAAATCCTTTCTCTCCATCCGTGCTGACTCTACGATAAAGCACGCCTCGCTGCGTATGAATGGATGCACTTCAGGATGACAGAGGGGTGTTACAAAATATCTATGATGAAAGGAGGGCTGAAATCTCTGCCTACCTTGAGCTCCCAGAGCAGCACACTCCAAATCCTCAGCACACCCCCTGGGAAGCCCCCAGCCCTGCTCCAGGGGATTCTCAAGGGACAGGGACAGATGATGAATGAGACACAGAATTAATGAGTCCCAACAGTGGGCATTATCCCAACCATAAGGCTGGTTGGTCTTGTGGGTTTTTGCTTTTGCTCCATTGGTTTCAGCTTTTAATAAATTTAAAAATGGCAAAATTAGCATTTCTACTACCTTTCTTCAAAAACATAAATAAAATTAACAGTTCATCTCTACTCTGTTCTCTGAGTTAAGCACAGTTCATTTTTTAGTTATTTTCCTCAACATCCCATCATTCCTCTCAAGATAGCACTACTTTGGAAATAGCACTAATGATATTTTTATTTTCCTTTGTCACCAATTATAAGGCACCAGCAGATACCGCAGTCTGCCTTGTTTGTTTAAACTGGCACTGCTAATTTGATGAGCTCTTCAGGCTTCACCTTTGTTTTCAGTGTGGCATCTGGGAATTATATTTCTCCTACCCATGTGCTGAATGTGCTTTCCCTGACAAGTAATTCATAGCTGCAGATTTGAAGTGTATTCAGAATGGACTTTCTTAAGCACGGCTTACAAAGCTCTCAAATCCTTTTTAGTCATTTGAGGTAACATTGCCCATTTAGAAAACCTGGGGCTCAAGAAAGAAGGTTAATCCAGGGCTGGAAGATCTGAAAGGAGGCAAAACAAGCATGCAGACCCATCACACCATGCCGCAGAACAGCAGGCTCAACTCCAGGTGACCACGTGCAGAGAAGAGCACATTCAAAACTAATTGTCACGGCAGAGCCAGTCTGCTCAGATCCCAGAGGTCAGCACAGACTTTTTATCTATAATCGCTTAAAGTGTTAAAAGTTTTTATTTTGGGGCCTAAAACATACATTTAGAATCTGGCTATCCAAATAGACCAGCACAAGGGAGCTTTCAGAAGTCAGAACAAGGCAAAGCACAAGTACGTACATGCATGCTGTGTGTGTGTGTGTGTGTGCACGTGTGTGTGTGTGCGCACACTTTGTGCATGCTCTGTGTGTGTGTGTGCACACTTTGTGCATGCTCTGTGTGTGTGTGCACACTTTGTGCATGCTCTGTGTGTGTGCACACTTTGTGCATGCTCTGTGTGTGTGTGCACACTTTGTGCATGCTCTGTGTGTGTGTGCACTTTGTGCATGCTGTGTGTGTGTGCGTGTGTGTGCGCACACTTTGTGCATGCTGTGTGTGTGTGCGCACACTTTGTGCATGCTCTGTGTGTGTGTGCGTGTGTGTGCGCACACTTTGTGCATGCTGTGTGTGTGCGCGTGTGTGCGCGCACACTTTGTGCATGCTGTGTGTGTGTGTGTGTGCGCAAACTTTGTGCATGCTGTGTGTGTGCGTGTGTGTGCGCACACTTTGTGCATGCTGTGTGTGTGTGTGCATGTGTGTGCGCACACTTTGTGCATGCTCTGTGTGTGTGTGCACACTTTGTGCATGCTGTGTGTGTGTGCGTGTGTGTGCGCACACTTTGTGCATGCTCTGTGTGTGTGCACACTTTGTGCATGCTCTGTGTGTGTGTGTGCGCGTGTGTGTGTGCGCACTTTGTGCATGCTCTGTGTGTGTGTGTGCACACTTTGTGCATGCTCTGTGTGTGTGTGTGCACACTTTGTGCATGCTCTGTGTGTGTGTGCACACTTTGTGCATGCTCTGTGTGTGTGTGTGCGCACACACTTTGTGCATGCTGTGTGTGTGTGTGCGTGTGTGTGCCCACACTTTGTGCATGCTCTGTGTGTGTGTGTGCCCACACTTTGTGCATGCTCTGTGTGTGTGTGTGCGTGTGTGCGTGCGCACACTTTGTGCATGCTCTGTGTGTGTGTGTGTGTATGTGCACGTGCGTGCACATGTATGGCAACGGAAAAGAAGACAAACTCTGCAAAATAATTTAAGGAGGTTTATTCTGAGACAAATTTGAGGACGATGGCCTGGAGCCACACCCAAAAAGCCTGGAGCAAGTGGACTCACTGGTGCCTGGTTAGAGTTTGGTTTTATACATTTTAGGGAGACAGGGTTGCAGGTAAAGTCATAAATCAATACACGGAAGGCGTGCATTGGTTTGGCCCCAAAAAGTAGGACATCTCAAAGTGGGGGCTTATAGGCCATAGGTGAGTTTAGGGATTCTTTTATTGACAGTTGGCTGAAAGACCCAGGATTTGTCCCAAGACCAGGAATCAGTGGAAAGGAATGCCTGAGTTAAGATAAGGGTCTTCTGTCCTTCATGTGATGCTACACTGGAATCAGGTCAGGAAGCGAATCACATCATAAAAACCTGTTTGCTGAGATTTTTATCATTTGTAGGTGTGACTCACCAGGCCCTCTCAGAAAGGAATTTTTTGGCCAAAGAAAAAGATCAGAGTTCAGTCCTCAGCTGAATTACATGAATTCAGCTTCTAATTTATGTCAAAACTGATTACATGTTTTACAATTTTCCCTCAAATCATCGCTTCTGTGTAGGGAGTGACACGTTGCTTTGTCATGCTGCAGGCTTGTGCACGAGCTGTCCCTGCCACCTGTAGAGAAGTGCTCCTTGTCCAGGTCTTAGCCAATCGATGCATGTCTGAGAAAGACCTTTTAAGTTTCTCAAATCTCGATGTAATGCAATTTTCTAATGTTTTATGCATTTGATTATTTGTTAAATATCAGTTTCTTCCACAAAACTGTATATTTCATTAGGGACTATTCTGTGTAATTTCTTCATATGCCCCCATCACCTAGAAATATCTAACAGATTGTTTTTCTGAATGGATAGATGTAGGAGATCTAGAGGAATTGGAAATGCGAAAGTAGTAATGTATATAAAAAATGTTTTAGAGATAATTCTTTAACTCCCACAATTCCTCTTTTTAAATATTTTCCTAAATATATTTGAGTTTAAATACAATAAGGGAATGATAATGCAATGTGATGGATTGGTTTTTGTTTGTTTTATCTCCTCTGTGGGCATTAGTTCCTATATTTCTTAACCTAGCAGACCAACTGTGTTTCTTTTTAGCAACTTTCTAAAAAATGATATATACAATGATAGAATTATGAGAGAATTTATTGCCTAAGTAGAATTATCAGAGAAATTTTGATTGATTCCAGCAACTTTCTCACTCTAGATAAACATTTAAGTAATGAACAAACTTGACTCATATTAAATATTAAATATTTATACATGTGAATGAAGAAGCTCAGAAAATCCCCCCCCCATATACTCCTTGGTATATAGAGTATTTTAAATTGTGGGACCCTCAGATCAACAAAGTATTGGAGGGGACTTTCCCTCTATTTGCATAAACCAGACTGACCTAATCAAAAGATCAGAGGGGGCAGCTGACTTCCCTTCTCCCTGTTATCTCAATATATTGCAGGAAAGAAGATCAAGAATGATGCAACTGGAATAAGTAATTTAAAACATAATACCTGTCTCTCACGTTAATTTACAAGCCATCCATTCATCCTCCTCAGCAACCATCTAGCCCTAAACAGAATTACCTATACTCATCATTATTCCCTTCTAAAAGGCATATTATAAAAAATATCTGAACTTTATTGGGAGATTGGGTAATCATTATGTGATTCTCCCCATGCACATGGTATTGGTAAATAAACCTTTCTCTAATTAATCTGCCTTAATTGTGAGTTGATCTTTCAGTGAACTTTCAGGGGAAAGGGCAAGCTTCCCCTCACCCCTACATAAGGAACCACACTTGCCAACAAATTTTAATTGATTTTGAGATAAAGAGTTTTTTCTATGGAGTGACTTTGGTTCTTACGTGACGTTTGTTAGAGAAAACCTATCAGCTCCCAGAGACTTATTTCTATGTGTGAACCTTAGTGAACACGGGTCCAATTTCCATTCCATTAATTCTTCACCTATAACTATGAATTGACTATTCAGTTCTTCAACTCTTTTAGTTGTAAAATTAAGGAGAACTCTGGGTTGATGTAAATATCTACCTTCCCTACTTATAACCTGAGCTGCTCAGACTGCTAGAGAAAAAGTAACATAGCCAGGGTCGTGGTCAACACAACAGCACAACATAACGGCCTCAGTCAGCCGGAAGCCTATCTCTCCAGATGCCCCTCATCATCTCCTTCTCTGTCCCAGCAGCAACTTTTAAGGCTTTCATCATTCTCCCCAAATCACATGGTATTGGCCAACGTTACCTGCTGCACACAACAGACAACAGAAAACTCTGCCTAACTGGAAGTAGACCAAGCTTTGTTAAGTCTATAAATAATTTGTGAAATTGCCAGAGGGCTGAAGAACAAATTCTAGGCTAAGTTTCTAGGAAAAACTCCCAGAGCCACAACATGGACCTGATCCACCAAAGGAGCTCTGCCACTTCCATGATCAGGAATATGCACCCTCAGCTGAGGCCAGGCGTGTGCTGCCTCTGCCGTAATCTGTGCGGGAAAGGGTGTTCTCTGTTCTGCCTCCTTCGCCTCATAACTGTTCCAAATCAGTCTTTCACAGTATATTAAACTGAAGAGCCAAAAACAGGTGTCTAGTAGTCCGTAAGAACAAGTGAAGCTGGGTGATGTAGTTTGGGGGCCAATTCTGTTACCAAAAGCTTCGCACTTGTCCATGAGGCCAAATCAGAAGAACAAGGATAAGTAGTTGAAAAGAAGGAAAGAGATTATTTATCACTTTCCTGGCAAAGGAGAAGTGGTAGACTTTCCCATCACAAAATCCAAATTCATTAACCTAGGCAGAAATACAGAGCTTTTACAGGGAGGGCCCCTAGTTCTAGGCTACCGTGGTTAACATGAAGCCTGTGACCTCAGCCAGTGGCCCACCTGGGGGCCAGCGCTACCTGGGAGATATCACTTTTAACAAAGGACTTCACCTGCCTCAGGGATGCAGGCCAGGCTGCAGGGCCCAAAAAGATTAGGGGAAGTTTTAAAGAGACAGAAAATCTGCCCCACCCCCAGGCCTTTCCCCCTGTTAAAATTCTGCATTGGTAAACCAGGATTTATACTATAAGAGACAATCAAAATGTGGAAAGGCCATTCAAAATGTGGGAGGTGGCCAAAAATGACACATATTCAAAGCACTGGATTGCCTTGTTGTCAATATGCCATCATTACTGCCAGTTTCACAGATATCTTGTGAATTGCAAA